TCAGGTGCCTCGTGAAATGGACCCTGCTCTTGCATAAATGATGTGGTGCAAAGGAGGACCTTTGTTTCAGTTTTTAAAACTAACAGCACACCACTTGTCTGCCAAAGACATCTGAATTTTAAGGTGCAGCTACTCCGGAAAATGATAGGTGAAGGGCCCTGCCTTCAGTGCCGTACACACCTGTTAGATTGAGTGATTTTTGTGAAAAAATGCCTTTCCTGTTCATATTTGTGATATCTGACTGGCATTTGCATCCAAACTGACTTTCTTGTTAATGGTTTTTAGTGGTCCAAATGTCTTCAATGGGATTGCAAAGAGCAGCAGTCAGCAAACACAGAGTGGAGATGTATATTAAGGACACATACACGGTTCCAAGCAGTGGCATGGCCAGGTGTGTTTACAGGATGGAAAGTAGCTCTTGCAAGCCCTGCATCCCACGCGCTGTTTGTTCTCCGTGTGCCAGTGTGGACGGCGCCTCCGTAGCTTTTGGGATTCAATCACCGAGGTCCCGGCACTGCACGCAATCACCAAGCCCGAGTGACACTCAAAGGAGAATCTCTCGCTTTTCCTTCTCCTCCAGACTCGGAGCCTGAATAAAACATAGCACACTTGAGAGCTCTTTAAGGCTTTGTAAACGGGGCCGCTTTCCTCCAGGTTTATTATCTAGCAGGGCTGAAGCTGCAGATGGGTGATGCGCCTGGTGTTTTATCCAGTGTAGAAGTTCAGGAGATGCTCTTGTAGGAAACGCTGGTGCAGCCTGGGAGCAGCAGCTGTCATTCCTGAGGGACCAGAGCTATGGATGTCCGCTGTTGGAGTTTCTCCCATTGTCATTGAGGCCATCTCACAGACACAGACGGTGGCACGGGTTTTGTGCTTAGTTGAAGTGCTGCTAATTCTGGACCCTGTGCTCTTTGCTCACTTGGGCTGATGGAGGTGCTCCTGCGGCCATCTGGTGACTCACGCCAAAGAGCAGCGGCTGAAAACCCCAGCAGAAACGTTAACAGAGAGAATTAACAAAAGAGAGGAATTTGTCATTGCAGCTGTGAGAGTAAAGGCAACGCTCTCTGATGGGGTTTAGCCGATGCAATGTTTCATGTCCACGCAATGGGAGCATCTTCCTCCCAAGCCATTCTCTGTTTCTCCTCAGGGAAGCAGAGGGACAAAGTCTCCTCTAAGTCGCTTCAGTCCTGCACCCCGTGTCCTGCACCCATGTCCTTCTTGGTGTTCCCAAACACCAGCATCGACCTTCCCCAGCTCTCACACCAACTCCTGCCGCTGCCTCGCATCGTCCATCGGGAGCCTTCCTGGGGTTTTGCTGAGTTAAAGCTGCTGTTTTGCCAACTGATGCAAGGTTTCTGGGGAGTGGATGCATTTCTCCAGGGACTGGGGTTGAAAACTGCTAAATTCATTCCACTCAGTGCTTCAGTAGAATGTAGCCTTACTTGTTTTTAAAGAAAAGGTTTCAGTGAAATAAAACCAAAGATGCATGTGGTGCAGCAAATGAAACCTCCAGCTGCACAAACAGATCAATAAACTGATCTGTGTTTGCTGACCAGAAGAAAAATCTAATTGCAAGTACTCCATATTCAACATTTGTGGTGAAACTAGAGTAATTGGAATAATGAGAAATCCAATGTGCTTTTGTTTGGAATTTGTTCTTCTTTAGGTTTCATTAAACTGGGCTGGTGCACTGAACAGGCTTCTCAAGGCTTAGGCTGGAGACGTGTTTACAGTTTCTAGGTCTGCAGACTGAAATGTTCTTCATGGATTTCTTCAAATTCTAAATTACCACGTTTGCCATCTTTTAATACGACCTTAGATGTTTGAGGTGACATTGTTCCTGTTTCACCCACGCGAATCTCCTGCTCTGTGTTGGCAGCTATCGATTGAAGTTTGAATGCATTTGAATGGCAAAATAGCTCTTAGGTTGCCTGAGGTTCCAGATCTGCGCAGTTGCTAACATCTGCAAGAGGAAATCATGCCCTCCTGCATGTCCCTGAGATGTATTTCCAAGAACAGTATTGCTCTGTCAGTCCTTGGGTATTTCTCATTTGAATGCATCTCTTGTCTTGCATCCCTTTGGATTCAGGTAGAAAAGAGAGATGGAGATCCTGGCACAATTGTATCTCTATGTATCAGTGTTCAAAAAGGTAAAAGATTTTAGACAGACAGAAAGAAATACCCCAGGAAAAACAGTAAGGTTGGAGTCATGTGAATGTTTTCTCCATCTGAGTAGGACAAAAGCTGTTTCAAGTTATTTAAGGCATCTCAATTGCTGCTAACAGCAATGGAGGTGGTAATAAAGAGTTCTTGAAGTTGGCATTGCAAGGAGAGTAGAATTGTCACTGGCATTTAATACCACTTTGAGATAAAGTCAGTAAATTGGATAGACATAGTGTTAGCTTAGACGTGTCTTAGCATTATTTGGAGAGTGGAAAATGCGTCCTCTATGAAGGAAACAGAACGGGCTGAGCTCTCTGCTAGGAGGACAAGGAAAGAAGTGATTGGAGGTCAGTGGGGTGTAGACAGGTAACAGTGAATTAGTGATTTGAACTGTATGAATAGCTGATAACTTGAATGTGTCTAAAAGAAAACATACCAAAAAATAAGGGTTTTTAAAAGTTTTTGAAGGCCAGCAAGGACTGGAGGCAAAACCTCTTGTCGCTGGGTTTTGTTTGGATCCGTCCATCTACGAAAGAGAGCACCCGAAGGTCGTCTGTAACTGGAGATCTGGAGTTACAGGAGTACAACCCTGTACTGAGATCATGAGATTGTGTCCGTAAAGGCTAAACCCTGCGTGTTGGTTCCCTTTGCTGTTAGTTAACAGAGGAAGCACCTTCTCCAAAAGTCTGGTAGGAAATCTGTAGGCTTGCAATGTGATTTATAGCTCCCTGTGGCAAAGATAGATTTGGCTCTTTGGTTCTGTTATAAATAGCAGAAAGGCTGAGCTCTTCAAAGTGTCCTTAGATCTGCAAAACAGACCAGTGTGTTCATTTGTAACCTTCATTGTAGATTTTGCTACATTTGAAAGTATTTTTTGCTGGTTTATTTATCCTCTCTGTAAGCAAACACTTTAACAAGTCTCTGATCAAAGATTGGCCCTGTTTTGTCTAACAAGCTCCTGGATTTCATCAGCTAAGGAAAAGTGGTTTAAGGCAGATCATGACAAACTAATTGTATCTGAAAACAGTAGACAGAAAAGCTTGAATGTTAAGAATTTTTTTGTTAACTGAATTTATTCTGGAAACGTAGAAGGGAGTGCATTTTGGACATGGTTTCCAAGCACAGAAGTGGTGTCTGATCCACAGGAGAAGGCCGTGCTTCCTTCCTGAGCACTCTGGCTCCAGGCAGTAGAGGTATTTCCTTTTCTATCCTGAACACATTCAGGAGCACTTACAGTTTTGTCTTCATGTCATTTTCTTTACATCGAGTAGTTCCTATCATTTTCGCTCTCTTCTCTTGCATAGCTATCGAGAGTGACCGTAGACCCCAGTTTAGCTGGGCTGACTAAGCCAGACTGGTTTAGTCATTGCTTACAAAATGAGACTTTCTGTTCCCTGGTCATCCAGGAGCCATTTCCCTCACTAGAGCTGGAGTTCCTCATCCCTGACCAGCCATTGACTGTCCACGGTGCAGGGCCAGGAGCAGCACCGTAACTGAGCATCCTGCCCTTCGTCATCAAATCTTCCCGTGGATTAACTCCTTGCCGGTGCCTTTGAGTCCTTTGAAAGAGAAAATTGCTTTTGGTAGCAATAAATTGCAGACCTCAAAAAAAATCAGGACGGACCTTTTTTTAGACGTTTTTCACAAGAAGAGGGCATTATACCTGATTGTACGGTGATGGACCCCAAATTTTAAAATAGCTGGGTTCTTTTCTTCCTCACCAAACAAAGAGATGAATGAAAGACACACAATAGCAGCCCTTTTCTTTTGTAACCACACATGCTGTTTCCACTCGGTTACACGTATGTGCTTGTGCACGACCTTAATTATTGTATCAAGATCTTCTCTTCATTGCATGAATCTGCTCAGGCTTTTTTTTTAGTGCCGCTTGTGATGTGCTCGCTGTGTACTTGAAAAATTCAGCATTGGTGGGTTCGGGAGGGGAGAGACCCACACAGCACTCGGTGATGGCAGAAGCCTGCTCTTCCCCAGGTCCATTCAGCACTTGGGGTTTTTATGCTGTCTGTACTGCCTCCTCATGCCACTCTTAAGGTGGATTTTGCCACGGTTTTCTTCCTGGCTTTGTCCACAGCTTTGCCTTAACCTCATGCTCGAGGAAATATTCCCGCATTAGTGTGAATACAGTATTTTGTCAGAAATTCAACAATTCCAGCATGCGTAACTGTAGGCAGGTAGCTGTTCTGTGTACTGGGGGGGTATAGGAGGAATTAGTTACAGGACTAAGTAATTATTTTGGGTTCGTTTCTTTAAAATAAGTATTTTGTCAATAATTTTCTTCCTGTTTCATTAGTAAGCATTCCTGAAAATTCCTTATCTCTAACATTTGTACATATTTAGACCATTTTACAGGTTGTTTCCAGCTGTTCCAGGGTTGACCAGTAGCGACATCTCCTAAATTTCCACATGCAAGTGATACCCAGTACCATGGCATAAAAATCTCCCTGGTCATGGTTTCAGGATTGGTGCATCAATCATGAGATTGATCAGACACATCAATACCTGACGGCTTCATCAGATACAAAGCACCTGACCTGGAATTGTGCCTGAGCCCAGCTACTGAAGGGGTCCACACTGCACCTATGTACGTGCAGACATTTCCCATGTATTTGGCCTTTCCCCCTAAGAGTCTCTGGAAGTAATTGTGTCTCATTCTCCTTGGGCAGACACCATTGGTTACAACTTGGAAGATTTGAGAATGAAGGAGAGAATGGAAGAAGGAAAATGCCTCGAAGCACTCTGTCGGGGATGGGAGGAATTAATGAACCAGCGAAGCTGTGCTGGTATGTTTCATTCTAACCTTCTCTTTTGTATTTCAGCCCTGGCCCAGTGTGTCCAACCTGGCCAAGGATTTCATTGACCGTCTGCTCACGGTGGACCCCAGTGACAGGATGACAGCCCTCCAGGCCCTGAAGCACCCGTGGGTGGTCAGCATGGCAGCCTCTTCCTCCATGAAGAACCTGCACCGCTCCATCTCACAGAACCTTCTCAAGAGGGCATCTTCCCGCTGCCAGAGCACCAAGTCTGCTCAGTCCACCCGCTCCAGCCGCTCCACCAAATCCAACAAGTCGCGGCGGGTTCGGGAACGGGAGCTGCGGGAGCTCAACCTGCGCTACCAGCAGCAGTACACTGGCTGAGCACTGCACTGGGACCTGCCAGGCGTCTTTCCAGATGTCTTCTCCGTGGTGAAGGTGTGCGGCACCCTTTGCCGCACACTCACTTGGGGAGGAACATCCAGGTTCCTCCCTCCCTCCAGGTGTCCCCCCAATCCCTGAGGAGGTGTCCCCCTGCACGGAGGAAAGGGAATCTCGTGGTGGCTGTCACACCCTGTGAGCTCTGCCACGGGGTCTCATGCAGGAAACAGGGGAGCCCTTGGGGGCTCAGAGCACAGAGCCTCAAGTAATACACAATTTGAGGAGCCACGTGGGGAGAAGAGCTCTTTCCATAGCCCAGGAGCTTGGTTGTTCATAGTTATTTATTAATTCCAGAGCGTTTGGTTTCTCTCACTTGCATATGAAAAAGAAAAAATCACTTTATGTGTCTGTACATGCACGTACGTGTGTGCACATACACGTGTGGGGGTGTGTGTGTATTTTAAAATTCTATATACACCAACTTTGAGCTGGGTTAGTCAGACTGTGGTGCCTATGCAGTGAGGCTGGTATGAGTCACACACAGTTAGAAGTAGGGTAGCTCTGACTCACCGGCCTGCTGCCCACCAGCTCCTCATCCCCGTACAGCGCCAAGGAGATGCCAGACAGCAGTTTTCCATGACGGCTGGGGAGCTGCGAGGTTTCCCCCAAGGGCTGCCATCCGCCCGGTGACGTCAAGGCTTTGCTCAAGCTGTGCGAAAGCTGCCGTGCAAATTTGGCTGCCAGCTCAGAGCTGGAGTCCGGTTCCTTTGATCCAGGCTGGGTGGGTGCTCTTAATGGAGGGGTGGGAAAAGAATCATCGTCCTGCAGGAACTTCATGGCACACAGATACACACCTTTGGCAAGGCAGGTTTTTGGGGGGTTCCTTGCTGTCCTCCTTGAATTATCCTTCTGCTGTTTGCAGCAAGAGCAATGCCTACTGTGCAAGGTTTGTTTTTCTTGCTGTGTTGTGGCCTTGTCACATCTGTGACCTGTTTTACACGTCTTGCACCCTAGTGCTACCAACCACGTGACTTCACCAACGCTTCCTACTGCTCCCTGTCTGCAGATTTTATGGGGTTCCCCTGCTTTGCATCCCTGTTCTGCCCCAGTACTGCCATCCCTGCAGTGGGATGGTGAAGTGATGGTGGGAACTCCATGGCCATCAGGGTAGGGGCTTGAATAGTGCAGGTCCAGTCCTGGAGTGTCAGCAGTGATAATGTCCTGGATATGTTGCACAAATGCCATTGAGCTGTTAGGTGTGACTTAAATCCAACAGGAAAATGCTGCAATTCAGGTTTCCTCATGCTTGATGGTGAAGGACCTCTTGGGGAAGGTGGGTGCTGTAGAGCTGAGCTTTGGGCAAGCCTGCTGAGATGGCTTCCCAACTAGTTAAAGCAGTCAAGTGGGGCTGATGACGCAGTCTCAGAGTGGATTCAGGCTCTTGTGATAGCAGAGACAAGACCTGCAACAAAGGTTTGGGAACTTTTCGTATGAGGTCACACAGGTTGCTTCATGCTGTGCACTGGGGAAACATTTGCTTAGCTCTGGTCTGGAGATGGAGGCTGTGCAAGCTCAAGGGGCAGGATTGATGTCTGTGCCGCTGTGTTTTAGCATCAGCAAGGTTTTAAATGGTCAGTCGCATCTCTGGGGAGCTCTGACTGTGCTGGCCGCTCCCCTCTTGGTCAGCAAACAGCAAAGCAGCACAACGGGAGAAGACTCTGTTAGGGAGGAAAGAAAGGGAATTTCTAGGAATGTGCTTCACACCCCGTAGCTGGGATGGGCCATAACCACTGTGAGCACAGCTCGATGTGCCCAAGCCTGCGGTGGGGAATACAAGGGAGGAAACCTGAGGACAGGCAGTGTGTGTAGCAGGGGTAATTTGAAATCCTTTGCATGGTTTTGTGTGTTATTTTGAAAACTCTGCATCCTTTGCAGTCTGCCTTTTCTGTGAGTGGCCATTCTACCATCTAACACAGAGTCTTTCTTCCATCAGCATTACTGCACACCACAGAATTACCAAAAATGTGGTTTTTTAATCTCTCTGGACTGCAAAAAAAGAGAAGTTTCTATCAGCTTCGTTTCCTGTAGTTTTTCCTGGTTTGTTACCATGCACTGCCCCTCATATTACTGCAAGCAGCTCTCCAGAAGCAGCAACCACTCCAAGACAAATCTTGACTGGAAATTTGTTCTTCCTCTGTATGTTAAGAGGTGGCAGGATGCTGCTCTCAGAGGGCTTCTGGTTTTGAGCCATCACTCTAAGAGTCCTCTGCATGTTTGGAGCATCACACACAGGCACTGTAATCTCTTTTGCCTCCTGGGTGCTTTCATGGCACTACCCAGGTTATTTTGCGTGTTTATCCCTGAAATAGGTATTTTGCCTATGTGAGGAGGTCACACCGATGAACTGAGCCGAGACCTCTAGAACCTGAGACCTTTCCTTTAACCACTACACCACTGCAATGCCCACATCATGCAGATGTCTGACCATGCTGTTCCTTCACATGAGCAATACTGGAGAGCTGCAATGTGCCTTTTCCTCTTCTTTTTCTACAGTCAGTATTTGCAGCACCCCAGACAATGACACGTGTGGGCAGAGGGGAGACTGGCACAGCTCCATCTGGAGATTGGAGATATCTCTCTTGTCACTCTGTCCGGAAAACTGCGATGGTCCAGCTGCTGCATTGCGAGGTCCAGCTCCAGAGCAATTCCTTGGGTGCTTTATCCTTGCAACTGTGGCACGTTTTGAGCTGGGTCTGGTGGCAGGGACAGGCAAAATGCTGTAATTTTTGAGGAGTAGTTCAGGTGCCTTCAGTCTGTTTTCTGAGCAGCTCTTCACTGTGAATTATCTTGATCGTCTGCCTTCCTATATATTCCACAGGAGCATCTCACCTCTCGGTTTATCTCAAGTCTCAGGAGTTTACACTGTTCAGGTGTGCCTTGTTCCAGGATTTTAGAAGCTAAAATCTCTCTGGGATGTCTTTTCTTTCATTTAAATTTTAGATCTCTTTCTTTAGCTCTTAACGGTGGTTCTTAATTTGGCTCACAGGGTTTTTTGGGAGACTTTGGTACTGAATTAGCCAGCAGAAGGCAGGTAACAAATGCATGTGCCAGGTCAGTGCTGAGTTTCAGTCTTCATATTGACTGGGGTGCAAATCTGTAATCCAGTGCTTTTGTTTCCCGTACTTCTGTTCATACAGTGAAAGTGAAGCTGGAATGACACCTAGTGGCAAACTGTCATGTGTCCTTGTCCAAGCGCAGCCCTCTTCTGGTTACGTTCCCCCTGTTCCAGGGTGAGATGCCCTTTCCAAAGAGAAAGCTGGGTTTGAGGTGCTGAGTGTTGGTCCTGGACCACACCTGCCATCCTGGGTGTTCAGCAACCTTCTCAGTGCAGCACCATTTCCTCCTATACTGATCCAAGGAGCAGCATTTTAGCCCACACAGCGATGAGTATGGGTCCATGTGCACCCACTGGAGGGGATGCTCAATGCCAGGTAAAAACACGTGTGGTCAACCCCGCAGTGCCTCAAGGAGATGCTCACCAGGCCCCTGTTTTGGGGAGACGTCTTAGGGGACACTTGGGGAAAGCAAAGACTGAAGATGCTGAGGCTGGAAGCGTATTTCTCCCATCCTGCAACGCGATGGAGCAGCTCAGGGTGTTGTTTCCCAGTGTATTCTGCTTCAGGGAAATGCAGTTTTAAGGAGTAAAGGGAATTAATGATTGATTGTCTTTTGGAACTTAGCAGTACTGTGTAAAACAGCCCCATCGATCTGTCCTGGGAGTTTGGCTGCTCTCTGTGGGGAGAGAATTACAGCTTCAAAGAACGTGGTCTGTTGATTCCTTGATATTGGAAATGAATGTGAAAAGGTCTTCCAGAAACAACATTAGGTGGTCTATAGTCTTTGGAGTACTTAATGTGTTTTTCTGTGCATTTTGCTAAAACAGCAACTGCTTGTCTGTGTTTGATTTACTTCTCGCCCTTCTCAGGCTTCTAAAAACCAAACACGTCAACCCAGTCGCTGTAGAAACCCCCCTTCCTTCAATCCAGAAGAACTCTGTGCTGTCTGACTCTGTGATAGCATCCAGATGCTCCTGCCAGTGCGTTGTTCTTGGAGACATCCAGCCCTACGTGAGGGACGGCTTTACAGCCTTGTGATGAGGGTGAGCCCAAAGGGCTCCCACCCGCTGGCTGCAGGAGCGATGTGGAAACCCGCTGTGGCGTAGGACCTGTGTCTGTGTTTGCGTTGGAAACGGGAAACCCTCAAACTCTCCACTTCTTTGGAATTTGACTGCTTTCATCTTTCAGTTCAAATGTTTTCTGCTCTGGTAATTTTCATTCTTTCTTATACCCCGCTCTGTTTCTCAGTCCTGTTTTCTACCCGGGTGTTTGGCTGAGGTACCAATACAGTCAACTTCTGTGTAGTGCACCAACTGGAACGGGAACGGTGGTGAACTCAGCTCCTGGGCAGCAGCTCTGGATGTGGCTCTGCAGGAGCCGTGGTGAGGCTGGAGCGAGGTAAAAGCGTCTGCCTGGTGCCGTGCAGGTGGGAGAAGGCTCCTTTGAGCACCCTGCAGGGTGGGCTCAGCTCAGAGTGATCTTGTACAGCCTCGGACAACTTCTGTGGGGCTGTCACAGACCTCTTACCTGACCGTGTGGGGTCCTGGTCTTGTTTTAAGTGACGATACTGAAGATTTGGAGGGCTTGAGGTGGGGTAAATGAAAACCTCAATTGTTTGACTTAATTAAGTTGTCTAAATGATGCAGAGCAGCACAGAGATTGGCTTTTGGAAGGGATGAGGAGGAGTTGCACTCTGGAGGAGTTACAAACTGTTCTCTGGCAGAAGTGGGAGCCTGGGAATTTGCAGGGAGGGTGGTTATGTCCCGGCCTCTCACCAGCTCCACTTTGTCCTGGAAAATACCACAAAGTGCCTGTACCACTCAGTGCCGGATACGCAGCCACAGGTTGCCTACACCACTCTCAGGAGGTTTTTGGTGCTTTATTTCTGACCACTCCGTCTCCTCTTTCAGCCTGGATTAAGAACGCAGCTCTTGGGTGCTGCGGAGGCAGGGGCCTCAGCTGTGCCTTACTGAGCAGTAAATTTGCCCCCAAAAACGAAATAAATGTGAAGCAGCAGGGACGCGCGGTGGCAACGGCACCACAGAGCTTGGTACCTTCCACCCTCAGTGTCCCTGTGGTGGAGGGAGCTCAGTTTCTCCTTCTCTGCTGTCCTCCCCTCCTTGGTGACACTGTAGATCCCTCGTGTGCTGGGCTCGCTGCTCACTGCTGCTGCAAATATCATTGCACTGTGTCTGCTGAACGCGGAGGGGATCCGGTGGGAGAGAAACCAGCAGCTCCTGCATGGACGCCCCGATGCTGTGAGGTTTTGCTGTTGCCTTTCACTGCGGAAAGACACCTCCCGGGAAGCTCCCGGGACCGGAGGTCTTTGCTGTTATTTTTGGTCACCAGATTTCCGGTGCTGGGTTGGAACGGTGTGGAGGTAACTGCGGCCGTGTCCCGCTGGTCTCCTGATGAGGCCGTTTGGGGGAGCACCCAGTTCTGTGACTTGCCCTTAGAGTCCTGTCTTGACACTAGAGACTGTCCTGTAAGATGAGGTCTGAACCATTGTAAGTAGTCTGTAACGTTACAGTTAGAGTGTACAGAATTATTTATTTTGTGTACTCGGTCTGCTAAACATGTAAGTGTATTCTGTGTACCCCATCGCTCTGCTGTCGTTACTTCTGGCTCACGGATCCGGGCTGTGAACGATGGTCACCAAACGCAGTGAAAGCCAGGAGCTGCTCACCCGTCTCATGTGTCCTTGGAGCACAGCGAGAAGGTACCAAAATGCCCATAAAAGAGTTTGCTGGGGTCTGTACCACAGCTGCCAGGCCAGGAGCTGCCTGAGGGAGACCTTGCGAGGGGGCAAACTGAGAAATACTCTGGAGTTACCCACAGCAACTCCTGACCTCCCTGGTTTCACTCTGGGCAGCTTTTATGGACCAACAGGAAAACCTGTAATACCGAGTGAAAAATGCACACCCCTTCGGCACCGTGTCCTCCTGGGAGGGAGGTGTCTTTTCAGGGGCAAGGGTCCTCGTCCCCGCAGTGGCAGGGATGACAGGGACCTGAACACACAGAGCAAGGGACCCGTGGTGCTGCCGTTGATCAGTTCCCATTTGAAGCTCCTCGTGGCCACCAGTTTCTTCTGCCCATTCCCTCATCTCTGACATCCAACTGCCTTTAAGGTCATTTAGGAGCTGATTAAAGCCAAAACACAGCATGCTGCTTTCACATGATGGGTTTTGTTTCAGGTCCCACAGATTGGAGGCACACTAAATGTGGTCGCAGACTGGTGGGACTGGTGTCTACTGAGTGGAGCTGCATCAGTTTGCTCCAGTTCATCTTGCTCCCTGCAGAGCAGACCACTAAATGAAGCTAAATTGTATCAAACCAAGCTAAAACTTAGCAGCTCTGGGCTGTATTTGACCAGCTTTTTAAAAAACCCTCAAACATATGGGCCAGAGTGTTTGTCTTTATGCTCTGCCCATGATCTCTGACCCTTCCCATGGGTATGTCTGGGTAGCATTTTGCTTTCTCTGGAACTGCTTGGTAGAGAGCAATTACAACATTTTTGGGGCTGTGATTCACACAGCAAAGGTTTTATTTCACATTCACATCACTGGTAAAGAAAAAAACCCTTAACTCGTGTTGGCTTGATCCGATCCTGCTCCTCTTCACAGTGTCCTCTTGCCCAGCTCTATTTGAAGCTGCCAGGACCCAGGTTTTAATTCTTGACCATGTGTGAACACAGGACATTTATTATTTCTTTTTTACACCTGCCATTGTCTCAAAACCTGTTCAAGTGAAAACACGTCCTGGCCTTGCATTTTATTTTTAGCTTCAGGTCTTCCTGTAGGATGGCCTTGAGTTTCAGCTGTTACCTAGCAAATGGGCGCGTGTGAAGCAGTGTGCTGTTCTCCAGCTGCCCCCTTCCACCTTCCCGAAGAGCCAGAGCTGCTCTTGGCATTTCTCCCTTTCAGCCCTGTGTATTCCCAGGCTGTTTCACAAGTTATGGCTTTAAATCGCAGGCAGGGATCTTTTAAGATCCCGTGCACCCACAAGCTGGAGACCTCACTCCTGGGTTGGCAACATGGCTCTTACAGATAACATCACCCACCCTTGACACTGCGGTGGTCTCTGGGCTGGTGCCAAGGTGTAGATTTGTGTGTTGGAGACCCCCTGAGCAGCCCTGGAGCCACAGCCGGCCCTGCTGCATCGTGTCCTGGCTTTGCACCTCCCCAGTGGGTCCCAGCTGGGCACCGAGCTCCAACTCTGGGAGGTGCTGGGGTTCAGAAGAGGAGCATGGGGCACCCCAGGCTTTCCCTGCACGCCTTCCACCCTGGTCTGCATCATGAAAGGAGCCAGAGGCAGCGTTTGGCACAAGCAAATACTGACACTTTATTAGGACATGGGGTCCTGTGCTTCCTGCTCAGCCCCTTGCTGGCTCTGCCGAGCTCACTGTCCCAGAGCAGCAGCCATGAAAGGATCCCTCCGGCACCGCCTCTACCCCTGGGCAACAACGTAGTCGATCCAGCTTCGGAACTGGCTTACGCGGGTGTAGATGGCAGGCGTGTGGACGTTGCAGTTGCTGTTTCCCCAGGAAACGATGCCGATCAAGGTCCAGACGTTCCCGTTCTGGTACACCAGAGGTCCGCCAGAGTCACCCTGTGGAGAAGACACCTCTGCTTAGTGGCCCCAGCTCCAAATTGGTCCCTGGACCAGGCGGCCAGGTGCTTTAGCCTAAATCTCTGGCTCTGTAGATGCAAGATGCCCACGTGTCCTCCTCCTCCTCCACCCTCCCTGCGGTGCAGCAGGACCTCAGCTCCTCACCTGGCAGGAGGAGGCGCCGACCCCACCGGCACAGAGCATGGAGCTGGTGATCCGGTTGCCCCAGTACTGCATGCACTGGCTCTGGGAGATCAGGGGCAAGGTTACCTGCTGCAGACGTGCCGCCAAGGCTTGGGCTGGGGGGAAGAAACACCATTAAATCGCCCTGGGGTCTTTGGGAGCACACAGGGACCCTGGGCAAGCTCCCAAACACACGGGTGCTGCCAAGCAAAGCACCTTCCCCCTCTGTGCCAACATACCCCGTCATCCCTGGGCGGGATTGTCTTGTGCAAGCGGCCCCAAGCAAGGGCGAGCTTGTGCTGTGCACCGTCACCCCTGGGGCTTGCACCTACACCTGTGCTTGCACCAACACGTGCACTCAGAGAGGGTTACTCAATTGCCCAACTGCCCCCACCACGTGTGCTCAGGAGGTTTCACCCCCCAGACACCCCCAGACTGAGGTGTCATTCCTCTGGGCACCACTGGACCCTGCAGAGCCCCCAGGAAGGACAGTGTCACCGTACATACAGTTGGTGTTGGTGCGTCCCCAGCCGGTGGTGACACACTGGAGGTTGGTGGGCAGGGCCAGGTTGGCGGGGGCCAGGCAGATGGGGGACACGCGGGGTCCCAGCTGGGCGGGCGAGGAGAGCTTCAGCAGGGTGATGTCGTTGAGAGTGTAGGCATTCCAGCTGGGGTTGGTGATGGCCTGCCAAAAAATACCATGGCGCTTCAGCCCTGCCCTCCAGGAGCAGCAGGGGCACAGAGCTCCAGCCCCATCCCAGGACTGCGACCTGTCAGCCTGGCTCACCTTGGTCACGGTCTTCACTTGAACGGACTCTGTGTTGGAGTTGAGGTTATATTCCCCAAGGACGACGACGTGGGAGTACGGGCTGTGAGAGGTCAGGGTGTCAGGGGAACACTCGGCAGCCAGCGCCCAGGGCGGGCGCAGCACCGGGGGCTGCCATGGGGCACCATGTGCCTAAGGGAAGCCACCCTGGGAACAGCAGGGAGGGAGCCCCAGGCTGCTCAGCTCCTCAGGTGGTGGCTTTTGGGGATGTCCCGAGTCCCAGCACACCCTGACCCCCTTCCCGTCGCCCCCTCCACTGAGGGTGGCACCGCCATGGGCTGCCCAGGCACTGCTGCTCACTTGAATTCGCAGTGGGCGGCTGTGACGACCCAGTTCTCGTTGATCAAGGAGCCACCGCAGAAGTGGGATCCTGAACGGGTCTGGAGAGGAAAGAGGGAGAAGGAACTGGGGCTGGGCAGGCTGAGCCCCCCACCAAAGCTGGGGACAGGCAGGGGGTGTTGTCAGTCCCCTTGGTGCCCGCCCAGCACCCATCTTGCCGTGTCACCGCGGTGCTGAGGGCACTGACTGGTGCCGTACCTGCAGGGACACCTGCCAGGGCCATGAGCCGGACACCGCGTTCTGCCCGTTGATGATCCTCTCGCTGTAGTGCACCGAGGGGCTGATGGTGGGCACCCCACAGCCTGCGGGAGAGGCAGAGGGGCACCAGGGTGACCCCAAAAACTCAGGGCTCTTGCCTGGGGGCTGTCTGTGCTGCTGCCTCTGTGTCACTGTCCCCAGGTGGCCTTGGCCCTCCTGCACCCTGAGGACCTCCCTGCGCCCATGGGCAGCGCTTACCTGAGACGGTGCTGGCAAGAGCCAGGCAGGCAACTGCCCACAGAAACGCCATCCTGGCAGGACAGGGCTGTGCCCCTGGGGCCACCAGCTTTATAGTAGCCAGGAACCGGGTGGCTCATAGCCAGGCAGGGAAAGGTCCCCCTGCCAGCTGTGGGCAGTGGTGACGGGCCAAACCTGGCACCTACCTTGCCCCATGCAAGCTGGGAACATGGGAACATGCTGCCCAAAGGCACCCTGGGATGGTTGGGCTGTGATGAGTTGTGTTGGTTCTCACTGCAGCCTGTGGAGCTGCAGGGAGGGAGAACACTGCAGGGCTATGAACAGGGGCATGGGGGCTGCTCGTGGGCGCGCAGGTGGGCTGGACGTGCTGGGACGGGTGCCGGTGCCTGGGGTGTGGGAGGTCACCCCATCCCCAGGCCTCTTTCAGAACTGCTGGCACCAGAGCTGTTTTCTCATATGCCTGGGACAGTGCTGGTCCCAGCTGGACATTCCCAGGGCCCAGGGCCACCCCCTGAAGCGTGTCCCTGGTGCAGGTGAGCATGTCCCAGAGCCAGCTGGAGAGGGCGGACGCCTTCCCAGGCAGGCAGGAGCCACGGCCAGTGTGGAGAGCTGGGTGAGCACATCGTGAGCCCCAGGGGGAACAGCGCCCACCTCCCTGAGCCGAGGCTGGCGCCTCCGCCTGAGCATCCCTCCCTAAATTGCCCTGTCATCATCTTGGACATGCATGGAGGGAACATAGCATCTCCATCATCTCCCATGTCCCTGGGTGATGCTCTTGGGCTGGCACCGCGTGCAGAGAGCCATCCCTGGGGTGATGCTGAGCAAGGGTATGGATGCCCTCTGCTCTGTGCCACCCACATGCCCTGATCCCTGCCCTCACCCACTGGGGAGCAGTTCCTGGACGCTGGCACATGATTGCAGAGCTCAGGCCTTTATTTCTGGCGGTGGTGCCACACGAGGATGGCAGGATCCGGCCTGCCATAGGGCAGCAAGCATGGCAGAGCCTGGAGGCCTCCCAGGGTGCAGGCACAGAGACAGGGTTTGCTCCTATCTTGACATGGCAGCTGGGGAGGAGATGACCAAGGGCTGGACAGCAGCAGAGGATAGAGGGAGTGCTAAGGGAGTTGATGCCCATCATGGAGGGAGCTGGGCCAGGAGGGTGCTGGTCACACCAGACACAGCTCAGCTCGTGCTCTCCAAGAGCCTTGGACTCCAGCCCTGGCTTGGATGGTGTAAGAGAGCTGGGGCCCGGAGCTGG